GAATATTTCAATTGTTCGTTGCGAATGCTAGGCTAGCAGCTGATCCACACACTCCTGACCATCCCACCCCGGAGAGAAAGTGAGCCTTCCTGCCAGCATTTCCCACATCAACACGCCCGAATTCTGAAGGCTTCACAGCCTGTCTCTGTATCATGAGCACACGCATGCCATGTGTACACGGGCCGTGTACTCACAGTGGTGTGTTGAGACCTCTGGTACGTACTACTAAAGCCACGCAAAGAGAGACGACACACAGTAACCAACACTGTCTAGGTCCAAGAGAGTACATGGCTTCAAGAAGGGCTAAATTGAATTATGTGAGTAACTCACAATGTAAACGATTCCACAGTACTAAATTATACAGAGCAAAACAGCAAAGTTTCCCTGTATGTCTATCTTTTCTTTTTCCAAAAAAATAGTTAATTCTTTAACATCTTATTTATTTGTGTGTGTTTTTGTGCGCACATTTGCATATGTGCACACATGGTCGAAGGGCAGAGGATGACTTGCGGAAGTCACTTCTGTCCTTGCATGGCAAGGGTCCTGTCAGGTTTGGCACTGGGCACCTTTACCTGCTGAGGTATCTTGATGGGCTGTTAACTTTTTTCTCCTATGCATTTGGATGTATATACATTACATAAACATGTATGTGTATATATATATATATATACATACATTTGTGTATATGCATGTATTTACATAAATGGAAATAATTTTCACTTTTTGTCCCCCTTAGAGTCTTTATTTCCCTTCTTTCAAGGTCCCTTCCACCCACTCCTCCCTATAATTAGTGAGTTCTAGCCTCCTGAACACCAGTCTCCGTGATGGCAGCAAACGCTTCTCTCCAAGATTGCCCTTTTCCAGTCATGGTGCTTAAACCTGCAGCTTCCCCGGGAGGGCTCCTGGAATGTCCACCCCACCCCAGAGTGAGTGTGCGCCCTTCATACCTGTGACCCTCAGGAGCCTTCATCATCGAAGAAATACCTGACAATGGTGCCGTCTGCGTGACCTGAGAGGATGCCTTTCCCAGAGCAACTGAAGGGCAGAGGCAGAGAGGTGGGCACAGAGGGAGGGACTTCCGCCCCGTGACAGTCCCCTTTCCATCAAATGCAGCTTTGTCCTGACAGTCCCAGTCTACTTCTGTTACTCACTTGGTTGTCAGCGCCACCACATACGAGTCCGTCCCATAGATGGTAGACGACTTGTTAGTTTTAGTGTTTGCTAAGCAAACCTGAAAACCAAACAAGTCTGGCTAGGCTACTTACAGTGTCAGCCAGACACGGAGAAACAGAAGTAAAAATGCCAAATGACAAAATTAGTCCTCATGCATTTTTCTCAAGTACGCACTAGAGCTCCAGGGGAAAGATGAACCATATTGACCGGCACCCCAGGACACTATCCCCCCCCCCCCAATACCTAACCTGTGTCTCCCTCTCCTCTGTTACCTTGCCTTCAGCCAGTCCGAAAACAATAATGTACTCTGCAGGCCACTGTAGACAGGTGACAGCACTCTGTATGAGAAGGGGTGAAAGGGTGACCCGCCTGTGTGGACTGGCACACTCAGAACAACCGCCACCCACCACACACCGTCATTCTAGTCCTCTCCAGGGGGAAAAGGCAGGCAGCGGACACAACAAGGCTCTCAAGCAGGTGACAACACCATCCTTTAGCAGGTCAAGTCGGGGTCAGACATTGAAAAAGGCAATTCCTGTTACATTTACAAGGAGGGAAGCAGGTGCGGCTCATCTCTGAACTTTACCGTCAGGATGAACTTGTTACAGATGACCTTCTTGTCACCCCTGTCAGACAAAAGGCAAGGAAGCAACCTTAAAAATCACTTCCCAATGAACTGCCCAACATGGCCCTCTGTGGGAGGTCTGATGGAGAAGTGAGTGGGTCCCCAAGGAGCCCTGGAGCTATGCCAATGACACAGCATATCACTGGCTCTCGGGACCTTCTGCTGGCTTACACTCATCCCTCCAGGGATGGGACTGCAGGACAGGTGGGGCAGGCAGAGGTGAACACAATAGAATCAGGCTCTAGAGAGTCCCTGCCTTCCATGCCTGATGTCATCGTTATCCCAGCGAGGTATTTCCCATGCCCAACTCTTCTTTAGTGGCCACAACCCGCTTAACCCCCATCCTGTCCTCACCAATCTTCTCCAATCTTGTAGGCATAGATGATGTTGTCAGTCTGTCCGATGGCAATTTTAGTGGAATCAGGAGAGAAAGCCATGCCCTTTACCATGTAGCTCTTCCAGCCACACTAGGAGTAAAAACAAAGATAATGAGTAGAAATGAAGGAGAAAAGAAAACACACACATTTCCCAAAAGACCAGAAAGTTTATAGTGAGAAATAGAGTAGACCATTGCCCATGTCTACGGCTAGAAGGCAGATCACACAGCTTTCTCGGATAACGTGTTGGAGCACATGCGAGTCCTCTCCACCTTCATGTCAGCTGGCTTGGTGGAGAACTTGTCTCTCCGCTCCCCATGCTCATCGTACAGCAATACCACTCGGTCCACTGTGCAGACAGCAAATTTAGCGTTGTTCTGGGACCAGGCCATACAAGTCACCTTCGCAGCTCCATCCTGCAGAGGCAAAGGGGTACTGTAAACACAGCGCTGGTCTCCAGAGTACAGAGCGTCTCCAGGTCCATCAGTCTTCGTGTGCCTTTGTTCTATATCTACGTCACAGGTTTTCTCTCAAAACTAAACAAAATGAGACAAATTGCTCAGATACCTGAACTGTAAGAATAATAGTCTCCAGGGCCTCACGTGGCCCTGACGGACCTCAGATTCACAGTATGGTAGGGATGACTTGCACTTCTGATCCTCCTGTCTCTACCTCCTGAGTGCTAGGATTTCAGGTGTACACCACCCTGTCTAGTTTATACCATGCCGGGGACAGGACTCAGGGCTTCACTCGAGACAAGCAAATACTGTACTACCAGGCCACATCTCCTTGTCCCCTAATGTGTTTTTCTGAGACTCATGATACAAATGTAACGCATCAACCGTTCCAAAAGCAATGGCCTCCTTGTTCCTTATCTTTCAGGTCTGCGACTGAAAAAAAAAATCAATTAATCTGATAAATTTTAGCCTTTATAGCTACTCATTCAATTAATGTTTTCCAGCACTTTACTGTCAAAGACACTTGGCTGGAAGACGACAGAGAGACAAAGAGCAAAGCACAGATCCTACCCTAGGTTCTAATTGGACGCTGAGAAATTGGAAATGTTCCATAAGAAAAATATGTTCTGAGTGTAGTAATAATTTAGAGAAGCCCAAGACAATTTTATGCTTAAATGGTCAAGATTAAACTTTGAAGAAGGGATGCCATCTAATGGTAAATTACTTCAAATGTAATGAGTAGCATGAACCAAGTCAAGCTCTGGCCCAGGACCAGCAATTTAAGGAAGCCGAGACTGCCAACAAGAGAGGAAGCAGGGCAGGAAGCATAGACTGGGCTAGCTCAGGAAGTATAGACAGGGCTATCTCAGGAAACATAGACTGGGCTAGCTCAGGAAGCTTAGACTGGGCTAGCTCAGGAAGCATAGACTGGGCTAGCTGAGGAAGGGCCTCTGGAGGCCGCTAACGATTTGGATTTATTGGACAGGAATAAAGAGACAGTGTAAGTTTGGAAACAAGGAGCAACAGAATTAGAATTGAGACTTGGGATAAACAATGTCACTTTCCCCTGTTAACTGTCCACTAAAGGTTCGTGGTGAAAGTGACCACTGCAAAAACGGGTACAGCCCAGATAATGGGACACTTGTCTGGCATTCATCAGTCCCCAGGTGTGAGCCTTCGCACTGCACAAGAGTAAGCAAAGAAATAAAACGAATATGGGAATGGCAGGTAAGACGGCACACACCTGCAATCTCAACACCTGGGAGGGGGAGGCAGGACGGTCAGACATTCAAAGTCCTCCACAGTTAGACAGCGAGTTTGAAGTCAGCCTGAGCTATATGAGACCCTGACTTAAAAAAGAAAAACCAAAAAAAGAAAATACGTGATCACCACACAGTGAATTACTCTGCGTGTCCCTCGCCAGCTGTCCTCTCAGGCTCCTGAGATGAAATTTGGCTCCTACGCCAAATGTTGGAATCACCACTTGGGCTACTAGAGGTCTGGCTTACAGCACCTTTACTTTCTACACCTAACCCAAATACGTCCAGAGCCAGCAGGGGAATCACTGCCCCCAAATCCTCAAACTACAACCAGAAAATAGCGGCACCACCACCATGGTCATGAGCCAACCATTCACTACTGTCGGCTAGAAGGGGGTGCAGGCACCTCATCAGCTTTGGCTGCTCATCCTCCTTCAAGGCTGTCCATCCTGGGCATCTGGCCCAGCTGCACCATGACATCATCTTTTTTTAGAGACCAAAGGGTTCTATTTCCAATTTTTCCATTAGGGTATTTTGAAGTGACAGATAACAGTACCAGTTTACTGAGCAAGGAGTACAACTTTTTATTGTTCTACCACCGAGTGAGGGCTCGATCCCTTCAGCTTTCCTTTCTTCTAACCGACTTCTGCTCTCCTTACACAGTGCAAACATCCCCAAGACCCACAATCGATGGGGACGCGTTTCTCTGCAATACGTGCCTGACTGGACTGCCTGGGGGTTGAGTGGAATGGAAAGTAGAACAGGCATTTTCATAAGTGCTTGACACCCAGTTGGTACCTCACCTCGTATCTCTGAGGCAGAAGCTATTATGATTCCCATTTTACATATGGGAAAATTGAGGCACTGAAAATTAAGAAAGCTGCTCAGTCACACATACAGTTTTTAGATGACAGATGCAATATTTGAATCCATGTATGTTTGATTCCACAAGCTATAACTCTATATTTATACTGTTGTGGCATATTTATTAATGACTTAATTCTGCCATATACTTTTTTTTTCAGAATAGGAAAATTTATTACTGTGCTTCCGCTGTTAAAATTTAGGATCTTGGTCTTTCCTTCTTGCCTTTGTACAGAACCAAAAGGGACACGTTGGCTACTTTAACAACCTTAAAGCGGACTCCAAGGAATATCACCTACAGCATGGCCCTTTAGACCAAATCCAGCAACCAGAACGTCATCGTTTTCCTCAATGAAGTTCAAGCAACCATCATTGGGGACGAAAGCTGTGATCTTCTTGCTGTTCTTGATGAGCTGCACCCTGACACATTTCCTGATAGCAGAACTTGGCTGCTTGGCTTCAACTCCTACTTTTTCCAGCACGATTCTCTTGGCATGAGAGGCACCTCCAAAAGGATTGGCCTTCAGGGCTGTGCCCAAGTGGGCTTTCATGTATTGTTTTTCATGCCACTTCTGGTCCCAGTGGTGGCTGCGGAGCTTCCTGACAGTATGGAGACCATGACACTTGCCCATCTTGCCAATGCCACGGGTCCGAGAGAAGGAGCTCTGCCATATACTTTTATTTACTGTTGCCATTATTATTATTATTATTATTATTATTAAGACAGGGTCTCTCTATGTAGTCCTCTATCTCGTTTTGTAGACACCATGCTTGGCTATTCTTTTTTTTTTAATTAATTCAATTTATTTATTTTGCATCCTGATTGCACTTTCCCCTCCTCACTATCCTTCCATTCATCCCCCCCCACACACACACACACACAATCCACTCCTCTTCTATTTCTATTCAGAGACAGGCGGGCCTCCCATGGGCGGCAACAAAGCACGGAATATCTAGTTGAGGTAGGACTACACCCTACTTCTCCAGGAAACTCTAAAAGTCACACATTATTCTTATGTTTTAAAAGGAGGTCTTGGCTCTATAGTCAGGCTGGCTTTGAGCACACAGCAAGCCTCCCAAATTCTGCGATTACAGGCATGCAGCACCATGATCAGGTAACAGATTTCTTTTTGTAGTACTCGGGACGCATGCAGAGGCTCACGCATGCCAAGCACATGCTCTTGTACTCAGCAACATCCTCTGCAAGTAGCATATTCTTTTTATATGTTGGGGCCAATGTGCCTGTTTGGGTGTGCATGCAGAGGCCAGAGGTCAACATCAAGGGTCTTCCTCAATTGCTCTTCACTTTGTTCTTTTGAGACAGGGTCTCTCCTCTCACTGAACCTGGGGCTCATGAATCTGGCCAGCGAGCTCTAGGGACTCCCTTGCCTCTGCCTCCCCAGCACTGCGATTACAGGTGTGCCTAGCTTTCAAGTGGATGCCGGAGAGCTCGTGCTTATGAAGAGCCGTCTCCCCCACAGCCAGCCTTATTTGTGTTGTTAGCCTGTCCTCTCCATTTCCATGTCCTTCCCTGTGGTCTATCATTCTTCATACAGCTGTCCAGTTCATAATGCCCTTTCCATTAGTCCTTTACACCTCCATGACACAAGGCAGCAACAGGAGGTCCAGGAAGAGTCCCGGTGAGGCCCCAGTGTTGGTAGTGTAGCCGAAACCAATGATTCTCTGCGATGAACCCACACATGTAAAGATGTATGGACAAAGGAGTATATCGTGTGACTCTCTGTGCCACACTGCAGCTTCCCTGACGAGATTTCCCCTTTCGTCCTTTTTTCTGTTTTTCCTTTTTTATCTTAAATTTTATTTGTGTTGGGGGATGGGGGGGGGGGGAGGTTGCAGGGGCAGAGGCTGGATGCAAGGGAACGGGAAATGGGTGAGATCGGGATGCATGATGTGAAAGACACAAAGAATAAATAAAAAAAAAGAAAGTTAAAAGAATTTCTCCTTACATTTATTTATTGTGAGTGGTGGGACGGTGCCTGTGTGGCGGTCAGAGAACAACTTGCATGAATTGACTCATTCCTTCCCGTGTGTGGGTCTCAGGGCTCACTCAAGGAGTCAGGCTTAGTGGTAAGTGCATTTATCCACTGAACCATCTCACTGGCCCAATTTTTCTTTTCTTTTTTCAAGATAGTCTCATGCAGCCCAGGCTGGCCTTGAATTGTCTATATAGCCAAGAATGCACTCCTGACCCTCTTGTCTTCACTTCCCAATTGCTAGGATTTTCGGCCTTTGGTGCCACCGAACCCTGTTTATAGTGTGTGTGTGTGTGTGTGTGTGTGTGTGTGTGTGTGTGTGTATGTATGTTGAACTTTACTTAACTCTCTCCTAAGGTTCTTGGAGTTGCTCTCACTATGGCTTTTCTTTCCCAAATGACGAAGTTAATGACAGAAAGGCCACGTATGATGAGGATTAAAGTCAGAGATACCATTTGGGCAAATCAGTGCTAAACCTGAACTCGGATCCCTTCACTCCCAAACCTATCCTTCATGTTTTTGGGCTCCTCTCCTAGAGCCCAGCCGCTTCTGAATCTGAGACACACTTTCACAATTCAAATGAAGCGTCAGCCTTGCGCTTATTTCATCCTGTGTAGATTTATGCTCGTTGTCTAGATATGCGCCTCTCCCTCATAGCCCATGACGTAACTCGACCCCTAGAGCCTAAGCTTGGGGCCTGGCACTCAAATGCTGTATGCGGTGCCATCAAAGTTTGCGGTCTTTAGCAATTCACGTCGCCTACTGAAAGATCTTTCACAATCTTCTGCACACAGTAGGCGCTCAACATTATAAACTTCTGTTACCCCACTTTTTTTCTTTTGTAACGCCTGGTGGCCGGGGAATGGGAGTCATGCGATGCCTCACCTAAGGGCTCAGCAGGGTCCTCAGGTGCTTCAACTGCATGACGCACACAGGTCTTGGATGCTCGCTGACCGAGACAACTCCCGTGGTTACCTGGACAACCTGCCAGGCAGCAACGGCACCAGCCACTGACTTTCTTCTCTGCAGCTCGTGGAACCTTCTCAAAAATTGACCACATAATCGGAAACAAAGGAAACCTCCACAGATACAAAAAAATATCAGTGTACACCTGTGTCTTATCAGATCACCACGGATTAAAGTTAGAAGGCAACAACAATGCTACCCCAGAAAGCCGACAAACTCTAGAAAAAAAGAATAAGATGTACCCAGGAGGAGTAGAAGACTGGAAATAATCAAACTGAGGGCGGAAATCAACAAAATAGAAACACAGAAAACAGTCCAAAGAATCAATGAAACAAAAAGTTGGTTCTTGGAGAAAATCAACAAGATCGACAAACCCTATCCAAACTAATTAAATGACAGAGAGAGAACACGCAAATAAATAAGATCAGAAATGAAAAGGGGGACATACCCACAGACACAGAGGAAATTCAGAGAATCATTAGATCTTACTACAAAAGCCTGTACGCCACAAAACTGGAAAATGCAAAAGAAATGGACATATTTTTAGATGAGTACCATATACCAAAGTTAAACCAAGACCAGGTGAACGATCTAAATAGACCTGTTAGTAGCGAAGAATTAGAAACTGTAATCAAAAATCTCCCTTCCAAAAAAAGCCCAGGACCAGATGGTTTCAATGCAGAATTCTGTCAGAACTTCCAAGAGGAGCTAAAATCTATACTCCTTAATGTATTTCACAATATAGAAACAGAAGAGTCATTGCCAAATTCCTTTTATAAAGCTACAGTTACCCTGATACCAAAACCTCACAAAGACCCAACCAAGAAAGAGAATTACAGGCCTATTTCACTCATGAACATCGACGCAAAAATTCTCAATAAAATACTGGCAAACCAGATCGAAGAACACATTAGAAAAATTATCCATTATGATCAAGTAGGCTTCATCCCAGAGATACAGGGCTGGTTCAACATACGCAAATCTATCAATGTAATCCACCATATAAATAAACTGAAAGAAAAAAACCATATGACCATTTCATTAGATGCTGAAAAAGCATTTGACAAAATTCACCACCCCTTTATGATAAAGGTCTTGGAGAGATTAGGGATACAAGGGTCATACCTAAATATAATAAAAGCTATTTACAGCAAGTCGACAGCTAACATTAAATTAAACGGAGAAAAACTCAAAGCCATCCCACTAAAATCAGGAACACGACAAGGATGTCTACTCTCTCCATACCTCTTCAATATAGTGCTTGAAGTTCTAGCAATAGCAATAAGACAACATAAGGGGATCAGGGAGATTCGTATTGGAAAGGAAGAAGTTAAGCTTTCATTATTTGCAGATGATATGATAGTATACATAAGCGACCCCAAAAACTCTACCAAAGAACTCCTACAGCTGATAAACACCTTTGGTAATGTGGCAGGATACAAGATCAACTCCAAAAAATCAGTTGACTTTCTATACACTAAGGATAAGGAAGCAGAGAGGGAAATCAGAGAAGCATCACCTTTCACAATAGCCACAAATAGCATAAAATATCTTGGGGTAACTCTGACCAAGGAAGTGAAAGAACTATTTGTCAAGAACTTTAAGTCTTTGAAGAAAGAAATTGAAGAGGACACCAGAAAATGGAAGGATCTCCCTTGCTCTTGGATTGGGGAGATCAACATAGTAAAAATTGCAATTCTACCAAAAGCAATCTATAGATTCAATGCAATCCCCATCAAAATCCCATCAAAATTCTTCACAGATCTGGAGAAGACAATAATCAACTTTATATGGAAAAACAAAAAACCCAGGATAGCCAAAACAATCTTATACAATAAAGGATCATCTGGTGGCATTACCATCCCTGACTTCAAACTCTATTACAGAGCTACAGTATTGAAAACAGTTTGGTATTGGCATAAAAACAGAGAAGTCGACTAATGGAATCGAATAGAAAACCCGGACTTTAACCGACAAACCTATGAACACCTGACTTTCGATAAAAGAGCTAAATGTATACAATGGAAAAAAGAGAGCATCTTCAACAAATTGTGCTGGCAAAACTGGATGTCAATCTGTAGAAGAATGAAAATAGATCCATATCTATCACCATGCACAAAACTCAAGTCCAAATAGATTAAAGACCTCAATATCAGTCCGAACACACTGAACCTGATAGAAGAGAAAGTGGGAAGTACTCTACAACACATGGGCACAGGAGGCCACTTCCTACGTATAACCCCAGTAGCACAGACATTAAGGACATCATTGAATAAATGTGACCTCCTGAGACTGAGAAGCTTCTGGAAAGCAAAGGACACTGTCACTAAGACAAAAAGGCAACCCACTGACTGGGAGAAGATCTTCACCAACCCCGCAACTGACAAAGGTCTGATCTCCAAAATATATAAAGAACTCAAGAAACTAGACCGTAAAAGGCTAATCAACCCAATTATAAAATGGGGCACTGAGCTGAATAGAATATTCTCAACAGAAGAAGTTCAAATTTCCAAAAAACACTTAAGATCATGCTCAACTTCCTTAGCAATCAGGGAAATGCAAATCAAGACAACTTTAAGATACCATCTTACACCTGTCAGAGTGGCTAAAATCAAAAACACCAAGGATAGCCTTTGTTGGAGAGGTTGTGGAGAAAGGGGTACACTCATCCA